TGCTGCAACACGGCATCTTTACTTTGTTTCTGCGGCTCCTAGTCCTCCCTTGGACACAAGCCAATGATGATGTGCTCATGTTGATGGCTTTCAAGAAATTCTCTGTTACCTCAGATCGTCATGCTGTCTTGGTTAACTGGACTGATACTTCTTCCAGCCCCTGTTCCTGGCATGGAGTCTCTTGCTCTCTTGATGGCCGTGTTTCCACTCTCGACCTCAGCTATGCAGGTCTTGTTGGCAGCCTGCACCTCCCTAATCTCACCGCCATGTCCGCCCTCCGCCGTCTCTATTTGCAAGGGAATTCCTTTTCCGCCGGGGATCTCTCTGCCTCGTCCTCCTGCATGCTCGAGACCCTCGACTTGTCTTCCAATAACTTCTCCGACGCCTTCCCGGGCCAAGGGCAATCCTTCTTCTCTTCTTGCGATCGTCTGGCTTATGTTAATATGTCTCGCAATTCAATTCCTGGGGCTGGGGGTAGGATGCCTTTTGGTCCTTCTTTGCTGCAGCTTGACCTTTCTCGCAATAAGATTTCTGATTCAGCCCTCTTGGCTTACTCTCTTTCTAGTTGCCAGAACTTGAATCTGCTCAATTTTTCTGATAACAAGCTCGGCGGGAAGCTCAGTGTGACTCCCATTTCTTGCAAGAATTTGTCAATTCTTGATCTCTCATACAATTTGTTATCCGGGGAGATACCGCCTTCTTTTGTGGCAGACTCTCAGAGTCTCAAGCATCTTGATCTCTCATTCAACAACTTCTCCGGCAACTTCTCCTCCCTCAACTTCAGCCGCTGCAGCAACCTCACCGTGCTCAAGTTATCTCACAACAACCTTCCTGATACCCAGTTCCCGACGAGTCTGGCTAGCTGTACACTTCTTGGGGTGCTTGACTTGTCCCATATGGGCCTGAAAAACAGTATTCCGGGTTCCTTGTTGGGAAATCTCAAGAATTTGAGGCATCTCTCTCTGTCCCATAATCAGTTCGCTGATGAAATCCCTCCCGAGTTAGCACAAGCTTGCACGAGTCTTGAGGAGCTTGACCTTTCATCCAACAAGCTTGAAGGTGGCTTGCCTGCGCCTTTTAGGTCATGCTCTTCTCTGCAGAGTCTGAACCTGGGGAACAATCTGCTCTCAGGAGATTTTCTCAATACAGTTGTGAGTAATCTCAAGAATTTGAGATATTTATATGTGCCATTCAACAACATAACTGGTTCTGTGCCATTATCTATCACCAATTGCACCCAACTTCAAGTGCTCGACCTCAGTTCTAATGGCTTTACAGGGACTATCCCTCCAGGATTCTGTTCTTCCTCAACCTCAGCCCTGCAAAAGATTCTTTTAGCCGACAATTATCTCTCAGGAGCAGTGCCGTTGGAGCTTGGAAGCTGCAAGAACCTAAGGACAATTGATCTCAGTTTCAACAGCTTGATTGGTACTATTCCCTCAGAGATTTGGACCTTACCAAATCTTTCGGACTTGGTTATGTGGGCGAATAATCTCACTGGTGAGATCCCAGAAGGCATTTGCTCTAATGGAAGGAACTTGGAGACCCTCATTCTCAACAACAATCTCATAAATGGAACCATTCCAGAGTCCATTGGCAACTGTACTAATATGATATGGGTGTCACTTTCCAGCAACCGCCTTACTGGACAAATCCCTGTTGGTTTTGGAAATCTTCATAAACTTGCTATCTTGCAATTGGGTAACAATTCACTTACTGGACAGATCCCTCCAGAACTAGGTAATTGCCGGAGCCTCATTTGGCTTGACTTAAACAGCAATGCTCTATCTGGAAATCTCCCACCTGAGCTTGCCAACCAAACTGGCCTGGTCGTGGCTGGTGTTGTTTCCGGGAAGCAATTTGCGTTTGTAAGAAATGAGGGTGGAACAGCATGCAGGGGTGCTGGAGGTTTGCTTGAATTTGAGGGGATGCGACCAGAGAGGCTTGAAGGTCTCCCAATGGTTCATTCTTGCTCATCCACTAGAGTTTATTCTGGTTGGACTGTTTATACTTTTTCTAGTGGTGGTAGCATGATATACCTTGATCTCTCTTACAATTTCTTGTCTGGAACCATTCCTGAGAAGTTTGGTACAATGAACTACTTGCAAGTCTTGAATTTGGGACACAACTTGCTAACTGGGGATATTCCTGACAGCTTTGGAGGTTTGAAAGCTATTGGGGTTTTAGATCTCTCTCACAATCATCTTCAAGGCTATCTGCCAGTTTCATTAGGGACTCTCAGTTTTCTCAGTGACCTTGATGTTTCCAACAACAACCTCACTGGTCCAATCCCCTCCGGAGGTCAGCTGACCACTTTCCCAGCATCCAGATATGAGAATAATTCAGGCCTTTGTGGGGTACCTATGTCTCCGTGTGGCTCTGGAAGCCCCTCAACAGAATTACATAGTCGGGGAAGAAAGCAATCTATGGCAACAGTAATGGTGGTTGGCATCACATTCTTTCTCTTCTGTATCATTGGACTTACATTAGCTCTATATCGAGTGAAGAAGATTCAATTTAAGGAGGAAACAAGAGAGAAATATATTGAAAGCCTTCCAACTTCAGGTAGCAGTAGTTGGAAATTGTCCAGTGTTCCCGAGCCCTTAAGCATCAATATCGCGACATTTGAAAAACCTCTTCGGAAGCTCACATTTGCCCACCTGCTCGAAGCTACAAATGGTTTCAGTGCCGAAAGCTTGATTGGCTCAGGAGGGTTTGGTGAGGTGTACAAGGCACAACTGAAAGATGGGTGTGTTGTTGCAATTAAGAAGCTACTTCATGTCACAGGTCAGGGAGACAGGGAATTTGTGGCAGAAATGGAAACTATTGGGAAGATCAAGCATCGAAATCTAGTTCCTCTGTTGGGGTATTGCAAGATTGGAGAGGAGAGGCTTCTTGTGTACGAGTACATGAAATGGGGGAGTCTGGAGTCTGTTCTCCATGACAGAAGCAAAGGAGGTTGCTCAAGGCTTGACTGGGCAGCCAGAAAGAAGATTGCCATTGGGTCAGCACGAGGTCTTGCATTCCTTCACCACAGCTGTATACCTCACATTATCCACCGAGACATGAAATCTAGCAATGTCCTTCTGGATGAAAACTTCGAGGCTAGAGTTTCTGATTTTGGCATGGCAAGATTAGTGAATGCCCTTGATACTCATCTTAGTGTGAGCACTCTTGCAGGCACTCCAGGTTATGTTCCTCCTGAGTACTATCAAAGTTTTCGGTGTACAACAAAAGGTGATATCTACAGCTATGGTGTTATACTGCTGGAGCTTCTCTCAGGCAAGAGGCCTATAGATCCATCTGAGTTTGGTGATGACAACAACCTCGTTGGATGGGCAAAGCAGCTTCATAAAGAGAAGAGAAGCAATGAGATTTTGGATCCTGAATTGATTACGCAAATGTCTGGTGAGGCTGAGTTATACCATTATCTAAAGATTGCCTTCCAATGCCTTGATGACAGGCCGTTCAAGCGTCCAACTATGATTCAGGTAATGGCAATGTTCAAAGAGCTTCACGTCGATTCAGAGAGTAGTGACATCCTTGACAGTTTCTCACTGAAGGAAGATGCAGTAATTGAAGAACCACGAGAGACGGAACCTTAGACACATATATATCATTCAACTTTGATTGGACTGGAAAGATTTTGTTCTTGCTGTCTTGCATGTGATGGTGCAGAGATTTTGTGCATGCAATGGCAACCAGTTGAATCTGTTGAATTGGGGATATAATATAGGTAATATCAATCACATTTTGCCTGTTGTAAATAATAGAACACTGAATGTGACAGAAAATTAAGTTCAAAGAAAGCATGAGAGGGAACAGAGTATAGGGATCAATGCTAGAGGCTGGGAAACTTATGTTTGCATTGAACGTTGTTTCTGTTGCTAAAGACTTGAAAACCATCTTCCTTTTGCAGTAACTTCCTTTTTTTTTTCTTCTTTTCTGTCACGGTTTTGCTAACTAGCTAGTATTTATTTTTATTTTTACAAGGGCCAATTGCTCTTACTGTTTATAGTAGGAACTTAGAATGGAAGATATCTATCTATATCTATATATATCCTGCGGGGAACATATATACTGGCAAAGTGTAGCAGTGGCAATATCAGGAAAATTAAGTTGTCGATAATATAATTGTGTAATTTGCATGTAGATTAGTTTGTGTTTCCTGAAATTAACCCTCTTAATTTCAGGTGACTTTTCAAGCTCCACCTTGATTCAGTCAGCAGCATATAAACTTGCTATATATTCTTTTCTCTTTTTGATGCAGCAATCAGCAGCCCTCTCCAATGCATTATGTATACGGCATTCTAACATCAGTATATCACGGTAGAGCCTTTAATTTTGTTTCTTTCACCTTCATATAACAATCCACGTGAACCAGGATGTACCAACAACAAACCAAACCATGTGTCTGTGTAAATCAGGAGCTTCCGATTTCATGACTTGTGTAAACCCTTTTTCGTATATTGAATAATCAGTTATACAATAAGAAATAATATTTCTCTTCTCAAAACACACTTCATGAGTTTTAAGACTTTTTTTTTTGTGTAAATTAATTATGAATATCACTCATATATATAACAATGAAATAAAACCCTCTATTTTTTTTTTCTTTTTGGCAGTCTGTTGTATTTGCATTTTATTTGTGTTGGAGATTGAAAACTACGCATTCAGGCTTTTGTTTTATGGATCTCTTGTATTCATATTATTATGATGAATGACTTTGAGAACTTGACATAACAATGTCTATTGTGACGTGATAGGAAAAGCATTCAGCGTTACAGTTGTAGTCACACGTGAATTTTTGTGACAATATAAACTCTTACAATTGAATGATCTGAACAAAATTGTGTGCAATTATAACACAGCGCAGTATTCAGGCCTCTGTTTAATTTGCATCCTCCCTCCCTCCATACTTATTTACTACATTAATAATATCCTATAGTAATACCCACGAACGAGTGGATGAGATAGTAAGGATTCTTCTAGCTTAACTAAAAGTTTTTATTTTAAGTTTTAGAAATACAATTTTGTTAAAATTCATGAGGAAAAATTTTACAATTTATTAAATTATACCTGATTCAAATTCAAATTACTCGATGACTTAATGACTTTCAGATAGAAAGTGATCTATAAAAAAAAAAAAAAACAGTAATAATACTTTAATTTAAACTTGTGTTTTGTTTTCTCATACTAATAATAATAATAATATTCAATAATGATTGCAAGCTGGCCGTCACCATGGTTGCCACGGACAAATTAAAAGCAGAGCAGGATGCAAGTCATTGCTCTAGGCAGAGAGTAAGGACAAATATAGATGATAAATACAGTAAAAGTGTCCCACATTAATTATTATTCTATTTTTTTAATTAGTCATTATGACTTTGTACGCTTAATTAGCCGTTTGGTCAAATATTCTTTGTCACACTTTATTGTTATTGATTCATGGCATCGGCAATTGGCATACATATGTATGTTTAGGATTAATGGTGTTGTTAATTAAGCATCCAATGAGTTTCGTTGGTTGTAAGTTATTATTAGAAATTTTATTTCATTGGTGTCCAACTCTTTTTCCCAAAGGAAATTAAAAAGCACCAATTAATATGCCAACGAGACATTGACAAAGGCTGCTGTAGAGGGTAGCTTTTTTTTTTTACAAGTTAATATATTAATAGTTAGAAAGTTAGTATGAGTTAATTATTAGTAATTAATTCTTAGATCGTGTAAACATTCCATCCCCTCAAATGAGGCGCGCAGCTATTAAGATCGTTTTTTGATGGAATTCACGATCGTAATAAAACTCGAAACTCCGACCATTTCACTCAAACACTTAGAGTTTGGGATCAAACCATTGTATCTAAAAATTGGATCAGCTGTAAAGGGTAGCTGAATGAAGATGAATTTGGGATTCCAATTCTAATTCTGATACTAATAGTACTGGTATTGTTCGGGCATTCATGATGTCTCATGTGTGTAACCCTGACATGATACTACAGGGAAGGGAACAGGCAGCAACAACAACGGAATGAGGAACAGGAGTGACTTTAATTCCAAAACATGGGTGAGGGAAAAGCAAAAGGAAAAGGCACTGGGGGTGGTGGTGGTGGTTTGTTAGGAAATCTTGGTAACAGCAACGTGACTCGGAAGCCAAAAGAGACAAAGACTCGGTCGGTCAAACTCTCTTTTTTGACTGGGTGTGGTATGGGGCCTGTGGCCACAATAAAGTATACTTGTAGCTGGTGTAACTATTTCCTCAATTTACAATTAAAAAAATGTTAATTCGTTGGGATTGTTTTTATAAATATTTAATTATAATAATTTTTTATTAGCATGTTAAAATAATTTATTTTTAATATACAATAATATTTTTTTATTAATTTTAAAATATTTTTTTAACTTTTTAAAAATCTAGTTGATTAATGCTGATTTCTTGTAATTAGTATGATAAAATGAAATTTTTTTTTACAAAAAAAGAAATTTCATAGGTATGTAGGTTTCAATTTCAGAATTCTCAAAAATAGATAATGGATTGAACACATACAAACCTGTTCATTAGCTGTTTGTTGGTTACTCGGATAAGTTTTGGTCCATCCAATTGGCATATTCTTATCAAATTTCAAAACTGATTTTTCCTTCAAGCAGGTTGATACTTTTATTTTATTTTATTTTTAAAAAATAAAGTCTAATGACAATATATATAATAATTAATAAATACTACGTATTATGAATAGATTATATTCTTTTGTGTTGTATTGTGAATTTTTTTAAATGATAATTATATTAATAATATTAATATCTATTTTTAAAAAAATGAAAGAGTGATGAATCTAAAATTTAACTTTCACATCACAAAAAATGTTATAATTTTACTTTTTATAAAAAAAATGATCGCTTAAATCATAAAGGTAACTTAGTGTATTGTGAATTAAAATTTATTATAATGTAGGGTGATTAAGAAGAAAATTTTCAAATTACTCCAATTAACTAGATTACGTATGTAGAAATACATGGTACATATGTATATAAATATAATCCCTAGGAATAATTTGGTGGACAAGG